AGAAAGTTGAACTAATATGTTTGTTAAAAATGTATGAGGACTTTCACTGCTAGGAAAATGCAGTAGATGCAATTTTTCTTTTGCCTCCTGCAAAGTACAACTAATAGCCCTAAATCCTATACAGAAAAAAAAAAAAATAAGAAAACTCCAAATGTTGGAAAGAGGCTATTCTCTCTGTTGTTTTATGTCTAGAGATCTTGAGAACCCATGGAAAGTTATAGCGCTGAGTTCTCTGGAGTTTCTTCTTGCTGCATATACCCAGATGTGGAACTGAAAAAGCCAGCAAACCAATGTATCAGTCTGTTTTCATGCTGCTGATAAAGACATACCCAAGACTTGGCAATTTACAAAAGAAAGAGGTTTAATGGACTCACAGTTCCACATGGCTGGGGATGCCTCACGATCATAGTGGATGGCAAGGAGGAGCAAGTCATGTCTTACATGGATGGCAGCAGGCAAAGAGAGAGCTTGTGCAGGGAATCTCCCCCTTATAAAACCATCAAGATCTTGTGAGACTTAATTACTATCACAAGAACAGCATGGGAAAGACCTGCCCCCATGATTTAATTACCTCCCACTGGGTCCCTCCCACAACACATGGGAACTGTGGGAGCTACAATTTAAGATGAGGTTTGGGTGGGGACACAGCCAAACCATATCATGCAGTAAGGTCAACAGCCACAGACCAAAAACAGAACGTCCCAATGAAAATTTGCTTATTCAAGCCAAAGGACCAGCAAAGAGACAGCCTAGCAAGACAGAAAACCTTTTCACAGTAACTATCCTACTCCAGCCAGACACCACAGAAAACTATGGCCCAATCTGCATCCATATCAGAAGAGGCCAGGCAGAGAACTGAAGTTCTATAGTGAGGCACCTAAATTTTCCTGCCAGGGAGGTATCAGATTAGGTTGAATGGAGATCCTGGACTTCCACCCCTACCTGGCAGCAATGAGATCTCCATCCCTCTCCCCACTGGGATGGTATCAGAGGAGGCCTGATAGAGAGTAAGAACTTTCATCACTGTCTAATAGTAATCAGATCACCCCACTCCATCCCATATCCCCTGTGATCAGTGAAGACCATGTAGGGAGCAGTAATAAGGCACTACTATCCTTACCAGCAAGGGACGTACCAGTGGAGCTTAGTGGGGACACCAGACTCCTAATCCCACTAGAAATAAAAAGAAACTGGATGCTCATACACTGGATACTCATACATTCCACAGTTTACCCACTGTGGAAAACAGTTTGACAGTTTCTTTAAAAATTAAACATGCAACTTTCATATGACCACGCAATTGCAATCCTGGTAATTTAGCCCAGAGAAATGAAAACTTGTGCTCACACCAAAACCTGTATATGAATAACAGCAGCTTTATTTATAAGAGCCAAAAATTGGATTGAGAGAGTGAGTGAATGCCTAAACATTTTGATTAACATCCATATCATGGACTACTACTCAGTAATAAAATAGAATAATCTATGGATACACAAAACAATCTGGATGAATTTTCAAAAAATTATCCTAGCAGAAAAAGCCAGTTTCAAAAGGCTACTTACTATACATTTATATAACATTCTTGACATGATGAAATGATAGAAATGGAGACGAGACTAGTGATTTCCTGTGGTTAAGGGGTGAGAGTAGGCAGGAGGAAGAGGTTGCAGCTAAAAAAAAAAAAAAAGGCAAAGTGGGGATCCTTGTGGTGACGAAAATATTTTGCATCTTGACTATATCATTGGCAATATCCTGGTTATCACGTTGTACTATAGTTTCACAAGATGTTACATTATGAGAAATTGGATAAAGCATACATAGTATCTTTCTGCATTATTTCTTAGAATTGCATGTGACTACAATTATCTCAAAATAAAAAGTTAAATGAAAAAAATAGTACTTTCTTACACAGTAGGAAAAGAATATATGAGGGCATGTTAACTAGAAATGTAATGGTCAATCTTGCATGGAGCCACATATTTCTTCATATATAGTGTGACTTCCACAAATCTGGTTATTATCTTTTAATATAATTTCATGCTGCATCACACAGGATATGTCATTATGATTACTTTTGATACTATTGCTTTACAGAAATTTTAAGGTTAGTTTTAATATGTACTCAATTTTCAGAAGAAAAGAGATGGGATTACATGTACAAAGTCTATATTAACTGGAAATGGAGCTGTAATCAAGATTCATAAATGTGTCAGTACAAAAAAAAGTGACAAACAGTAGGATATAAAATGCCAAAAATCTTTTGCTGGGAGCATTAAAATCTATTGTAAATCAATTTTCCAACCCAAGATACAACAGTTCTCAACTATTAAAATCTCTAGTCTGCATCTCTGTTAAATGGTCTTCTGAATGAGAACCGGAGTTTCTATTGAATTCTCTCATTGAGTTCACAGGGTCATGAGAATTTTTGATAGCTAGAGACTTGATTTATGAAGCAAAAGTTTTTGAGTTTTTTTACTCTAAGATCTGACACAGACTTGATGGGTAACTTTGAACAAGATATAATATTTCTTTAAAATTTGCTTTTCCTGTCAGGTTTATGAGAATTGCAGATACCAAGATCCCTCAGTGTCTCTTTTTACCTTCTCTTTGGCCAGACTTACGAAGAACAAACAAGGATAGAAGCCAGAGCCACTGCCCTGACTGATGCAGAAACAACACAACATACACCTATAGGAAGAATCAAGCCACAGCCATCATTCAATGGATGTTAAACCCCTCCCTTCTGTAAAATCCATTTCAGTTCCTGTTACCCCTCTTCCTTCAGCTTCCTTCATTTGATACAAGCTCCCGAGAACTTCAAGGCCCCATAGAACCTGCTTGCACAAAGTGGGGTACTCAGTGCCCTGTTTTCTCTGGAGCTGTAGAAGGACACACAAGACATTCCTGGACTACCTTTTCATCTGTTCACTCTTCTCTACAAGAGGCAAACGGCAAAGGAAGTATGGGTCCCTACAGTATTTTACTGTATAACTCACGGTCAGTTTTCTGATGAGACCATCTCTGAGATCATCAAAATAGGAACTGCCTACTCAGTGAAGAAATGGTTTGCCTTACAGATACTCTACAAAATGTATCAGATGAATGCCTACTGGGACTGTCAGAAACAGTTTAGCGCTCCCTGGAATTTACATATATGTATTTAGGATTTTCCACATTTAAATCACAGTCAGCTAAAGTAGGTGTCAGAATATTGCCCACCATGAATTATCCAAGGCTCTAATAATCATGGCATTTGTTCTGCCTTCCCTTTGCAGTTCAAATAAGCAGAACTTTCCAATGTTGGGAGCTCAAAGTACTGTCAGATGTCTGTAAAGAGGAAACATTTTTAAAACCAGGAGACTTGAATTAAAACCATCATTCTAAGAATGAAAGTAGACTTGGTGAGAAATAAAGCTAGTAAGGAATTGTATTCTATCCACTGTCAGAACTTACCTATTCCAGAAGATAACTAGGCATCAGCGTTTTAGAGATGGAAGGAGTTGATTCTGCTTCATGTGCCCTACTGTAAGGATGAAGACAATGGGCACATTGTTAATAATATAAACAGGACTAAACAATGGACACATTGTTAAGGATATAAATGGGACTAAACTTCTTTCTTTTATTTATTCCATCATTTATTCTTTCAATAGACATTATATATATACACATACACATATGTATATATACGTATATGCATATTTATGTGGATGTGTGTGTATATATATACATATATATACACACACACACATATATATATACATGCACCTTAATATATCTATTTAGTAAAAGCCTGATATGTGCTTCTGCCACATTTATTCTGTAATGTTCCAGTACAAATTATCCTTACCTTAGAGCACCGTCTCTGCAGAGTAGTCTATAAGTCCTATTTATCAGGATCACCTGGGGAACTAATTAAAAATTCCAAGTTCCTGGGCCCTAGTGGAAATTCGCTGTGTAAGAATCACTGGCCAGCATTTTAGAGAAGCCAATGAAGTGATGGCTATGTGTACTAGTGTTTGAGAAACAATGCCTTGCTGGGTGTGGTGGCTCATGCCTACAATTCCAGAACTTTGGGAGGCTGAGGCAGGTGGATCACTTGAAGCCAGGAGTTCAAGAGAATCAATGCCTTCTAGATTTCGCCTTTTTAGTGATTTCTCTCAAGTCTCAGCTGTCAATCTTTGAAGGTAATTTAGCCTTTTAGGGAGACATGATTCTTAACTGATATTTCCCTACTAATACAAATTTCAAGAATATTTAAAATATATAGAACTACATCAAAAATGTATTAAATTATTCACACTCAAATTTTCCAAAATCATCCGTATGACTATTAAGTGAACATCAGCAAAAATCTAGCCTAAAACTTAAGCTTCTAATGAGACATTTGTTTACATTATTGAAAGAAACTTGGCTACACTTTAGCCATTGCTTGTGTGCTGTACTAAATGACTTTTCCAGCTAAAGCTGAAAAGTGAGGTGCAAATTTGTTTCCTTCAATCACATGGCTCCTCAAAACAATCTAACCATGTGTAGGTATCACAAGACTTCACAAAAGGACTGAGGAGATTCATTTGGGTCAGGACATATTTCTTCTGAAGACTCAGGTTTGAAAAAGAAAAAAAAAATCAGTAGCTTTGTGAACATGCTGTTGCTCCTTAAACACAGCTTATAGTAAGGCATGTGAATGCCTCAAAAATTTAACCTTCAGATTAAATTTATCTTTAAACAAATGGGATTTCAAACTAGAGAGAAGGCAGTGTGACTGTTATAGAATACTGCAAGCTCTATACAACTTGAAAGATTTTAAGTCATTTTTATAAAAATTGCATTGCACAAAGAAGCAAATTTTTCAAAAAAAAAAAAAATAGAATCAACAACTGCAATTTCTGTTTGGGAAGAAAGGAGGGACTCTCGAAAATTTTTCTCCAGTAGTCACGGATTGGGAAGGGCAACATCCCTACTTAAAATTTAGATAAGAAAATTTTCGCTACCTTTCCTCAGGCATGGCGCGTCCACCGATTCCTCCTCCCTGGTCGCCGCGTCCCTGGCTGGCGTGAGGAAAAATGTCAACAAACTTCCTAGCAGTACATTTGAAGATCTCGTTCGACATGTTTAAATATGACGATACAGAAAAGAGATTCTACGAGCAAATTAACTGCCCCGTGGCTGGTGCCTCCCGCCAGGAGACTAGCACTAGCGTGATCCTCCGTGATATCGCGAGACCCGGACAGCCCATCCAGAAATCCCTGACCGGAAGTTCAGGCCCCCAGGCCTCCAGCGGCCCCGGGGAGAGCGCAGCGGACTCGTTGTCCGGATTGCCAGGCTGGAAGTGGAGCACCAGAGCCTGCGCTGCATGGTGCAGGAGCTGCGGCAGACCGTCTGCAAGCTGGAGGCCCGGCTGAACGTGCTGGAGAAGAGCTCGCCCGGCCACCTGGCCACAGCCCCGCAGACCCAGCACGTTTCTCCTCTGTTCCAAGTGGTACCCCCACCCAAGAAGCCAGCCACACCAGCAGAGGATGACGGGGACGATGACATTGACCTATTTGGCAGCGACAATGAGGAGGAGGAGAAAGAGGTAGCTCAGCTGCGGGAGGAGTGGCTGCGGCAGTACCCGGAGAAGGCCGAGAAGCCGGCACTGGTGGCCAAGTCCTCCATCCTGCTGGACGTCAAGCCTTGGGACCATGAGACGAACATGGCCTCGCTGGGGACCTGTGTGCGCTCCATCCAGCTGGAGAGGCTGGTCTGGGAGTGCCTCCAAGGTGGTGCCTGTGGGCTACAGTATCCGGAAGCTGCAGATTCAGTGTGTGGTGGAGGACGACAAGGTGGGGACAGACTTGCTGGAGGAGGAGGAGGAGATCACCAAGGAGCACGTGCAGGGTGTCGACGTCGCAGGTTTCAACAAGATCTGAAGCCTGAGTGTGTGCGTGTATGTGCGCGTTGTGTGTGTGAGGCCCTTACACGATTAAAAACTGAGACCAGCAAAAAAAAATTTTTTTTTAATATAAATCATGAACGAACCCATGGAAACTTTAAAAAGATTCGAATCCAAAGATTCACATTTCTTTCAAAATTTTTTGATCTAAAGTGTTGTAGGGGTGTGGCAGTTTCCTATAAAGTAAGAAATACATAAAATTCAAAACACACACTAAGGAAGCATGGGTGAGAAAACAAGCGAGCAAGAAGGCACTTTCAATATGTGAAGGTTCTCTTCCTGCCCTTGGAATACAAAGAAAGGCAGACAGACATTTGTCACATTATTTATAAATAATACTGAAGTTAACTCTTTCCCTGAACAACTTGAGTCCCTTTGTAATAAGATGTAAATAACTATGAGTTTTGAAAACGTGTTGAGTTTATAGCCCACTGGGTTGTCTTTATGGATTTGAGAAAGTCTTCAAGTTTGAGAAATTAGTATTAGACTGAAATGTAGCTTCTGTAAACACTAAAATGACTTTTTGATGAGTGGCATTGCAAGTACAGTTAGCTATGCTTATATCAGGTGGCTTTTTTTTCACATGTATTATTCTACAAGAGTTTTGTAGTGTTTTTTTCTTTCATTTCAACTTAGTCACGAACAGAGCAATTGAATCTCAGTTACTGAGTCCTGAATGAGAATTTCTCCCATAAACACTAAAAATTATTTCAATCATTATATTCAAACAAGAAAAGACATGAACTTAAATGCCACAAATATAAAGTAATTACCTTGCTAACCATATCCAGTCAAATAAAGTTGTCAGTGGTGTATACAGTTGTCCCAGGGTATCCTGGGAGATTAGCTCGAAGACCCCTGAAGATACCAAAGTGAGATTTCTAACCTCTCCAATGACACTACTTTACTTTTTTTTTTTTTAAGTTGTTCTATCTCCCTTGCTGTAGAATAACTAACAAAGTAGAGACCTAGCATATGCTAGAGGCAAAACTTTAATGCCTAATCCTACACATCCATATGTATTTGCAAACAACCTATGTACATTCTCCAGTATACTTTAAATCATGTTTAGGCTGGGCATTATGTCTGACGCCTGTAATTCCAACATTCCAGGAAACTGAGGTGGGAAGATTCTTGAGGCCAGGGGTTTGAGACCAGCCTGGGCAACATAACAAGACCTTGTCTCTACAAAAAATAAAATAAATGAAAAAATAAAATAACCAGGCATGGTGGCATGCATCTATTGTCCCAGCAACTTGGAAGTCTAAGGCAGGAGGATCACTCGAGCCCAGGATTTTGAGCTCACGACTGCACTCCAGCCTGGGTGTCAGAACAAGAGCCTATCTCTGAAAAAGAAAAAAATAAAATAAAAAATATGTATCTAGATTACTTCTAATACATAAAACAGTTTAAATGCTTTATACATAGTTGCTATAATATATTGGTTTTTAAGTTTTTTTTATTTTTATTGCTATATTATATTTATTGTTTTGTTTGTATTCACCCAAGATTGGTTGACTCTGAGGATACAAAACCTCTGGATACAGAGAGCCAACTATAATTTATGTTACCTTCTCACTTAAAATGGTAAACATAGAATTTCATTTTTACAACCAAATGGTGGCACAACAGCAAGGATTCATGTCATTCCAGGGCCCTCAATAGCAATAAAGCCTTCCAAGCATGGGTGTTTTAATGCTGGCTGGAGGCTGAATGCAGTCTGATCCACTTCCTAGGGTAGTTTCAATGTTACCGTCCAACATTCAGTGAGAAAATAACTGGGGAAATACCAGCATCCATGTGGATTGCACCGTAAGGTTTTAACTTTTGAGAATTTGTTATGTTATCCAATATGCTCTCTCTCATTGGCTTTCCATTTCACTTCTCTCCAGGGGACAGGGAAGCTTGTAAGAAGAGCAATATTTATGCAGAATAATTCAGAAGTGAAGCTTTCAAGGAATGAAATATGTATGTTGGCCAGTGAAAAGGAAACTGCTCATCTTCCCAAGACTCATGAATAATCCTTGTTTACTCCGTAATAGCTATGAATTTATCAAATGCACATGCACACACACTCTCAGGTACTTGCTAGAATTATGATTGAGGAACCCTGTGCTGCCATCTTGTTGGAAACATTAAATAATATGATTTGTGATTCAAAACATTCTTTTGATAGCCTAGAATTATCAAAATTAAAGATGGTAATAATCTGGTAATTAACAGCAATTTCTTTTATCACCACAGAAATGACATGTTACAAACAACAGTGACCTATAATTTCCTTCACATAAGATTTGCATATATTATCACTAAATTTGTAATTACCCCAGCAGCCACCCAAAATATTGCTTGTCATTTGCTCATAAGATATCAGGGATTTTAAAGTGGACTGGATCACCTAGTTTTCTAGAGCTATTGAACAAAAGGTCATTGCAAAAGAGAAAACTAAACACAGTGTGACAAGTACAGCAAAAAGGTAATTAGTGTCTTTATATCTTTCTTGCTAACTTTTTGGTAATAGACAAGTATGTATATATGCAGAATTTTTTAAAGCCAATTTATTTTGCTTTTGTGTTGCATCCACTGTAATTAAAACTGGAATTAAATAGCAGAGGGTTAAAAAGTTAAACAAAATAAATAGTAACTGAATTCTAATAGAGTTTTATTTCTCTCTGGATCTATGCCTGGATTTTCCTTTGGTGTAGAGGCAATTTGTGAATGAACATCTTGCTGCCAGGGAGCCTTTCATTTGAGCTTTCAGAACTCAGGTTTCTAACTTCTCCAAGAACACTGTACTTTCTGGTTTTTTATTAAGTAGCTGCTAGCTCCCTTTCTGTAAAATAAGAGAATATAGGACTAGAATATGCTTGAGGCAAAACGTTAATGCCTAATTCTACATATCCATATTCTATACACATCTCTAGATCATCCATTCTACTGACATTAAAAGAATATCAGCACTAACTCTTTACATGTGAATTGAACATCACAGTTTGTAAAGTCTCTTCGTACATGTTTGTATCACACTTGACAGCGCATATGAATCTTGTAAGGCAGCATGGGTGTTACATGCCCACTTCAGAGGCGAGGAAGCCTGAAACTCAGTTGATGTGATTTGCCTAAGAGTCAGGAAGGGGTGGACCGTGGGGACAAGTATACTACCTGGTTCTCTGTGAACAGCCATTTTCACTACTTAATGGCCTGTATTTGTCCACAGTATTTGTTTTCAGTTTTTCAAGATGGATTTTAGCATTGTTTTAGATTCTAGGTTACAGGCAAAATAAACTGTTATTTTCATGAGGATTCAATAAATATATAGATTAATTTAGACAAAATTGGCACGTATAATAGGGCTTAAAACAGTTTTCTACATACAAACTTAATTTTTGTTCATTTGCATCTAAATATTTTAATTTTTAGTTGCTATTAGAAACACTTTCAGTTATATGATCTAATTAGTATTTCTATATAGAAAAGATACTGATTTTTATAGATTGATTTTTAGAAGCTACTAACTTACTAAATTTCCCTAATTTTTATAATTATTTTGGATGTTCTATGTAAACAATAATATTCATGCAAATAATTATTTTCTTCTCATTTCAAACATTTTTGCTTTTTATTTCTTTCTCATATTTAATAATATTTGCTACTGTGTTTCCAAAACAGTGGTGAAAAATAATGGCAATAACTGCCAGTCTTGTTTCTGTTACTATAGATAAGTTTGCATTTTCTAGAATTGTAAATAAGTAGAATCCCATAGTGTATACTCTTCTTTCTAGCAGTGGCCAGGGCAGGAGAGGTGAGGTAAGGGCAGGAGGTAAGTATTACAAAGGGATGCAAAAAATGTTTTAGAGGTGGTGAATATGTTCATTATTTTATGCATAGTAATCGTTTCATAGTGTAAACATATGTCAAAACATATACTTTAAATATGTGCAGTTTAAATATATGCAGTTTATTTAATCATAAATCAATTACACCTTAATAAAAATGTAAAAAATCATAGCGATAGTGAGTATCCTTCTCTTGTTTCTGACTTTGGTTTAAGATATGTCTTTAGATTAGATTGGCCAGATGATGATTGATTGATTGATTGAATGTGTATATTTCTTATGTTAAAGAACTAATCATCTACAGTATTCTTACTTTCTTATTTTTTGGCATCAGAAATACATGACAAATATTGCCAAATACCTTTTTGGCAATAGTTAAATGATTAGTGGTGGTGGTGGTGGTTGTTTTCATTTATCCAAGAATATATTGTATTATCAATAGATTTACTAATATGAATAACCCTTCTATTCTAGAAATGAGCTATAATTGTTTATGGAATATTTATAACTGTTGAATTTAATTTGTTAGTGAAATAATTTTTTTTCACTTCAGGGTTATGTATGTTCTGAGAGATTTGCCTAGTTGAAAATTATCCATGGTAAGTTCATTCTGGAAATCAAAAGCAATGGATGTGCCAACCAACTTACTTTAACACAAATAATATCATAACAAGATAATTATCTTTATAACGTAGTCTTGAAAACAACCTAAACAACATCTAAAATGTGAAAAGAACAAGGTTAACATGCTTTTGGTTAAACATTACTCTGAAAATTCCCTCAATTCTCTACTTCGTTTTCAATGTGGATAAGCTGAATACCCTTCTTACTAAAGGAAGAGAGCACTTAAGGTACTCAGAGTTCCAAAAGCTTTTTAGTCATCTTTAGCAGCTTCCTTAACTGTTCAGTGATCACATTAATGTGATCTATCTAACATAGAACAGTCTTTCTCAGAGAGTACCCCCCTGACAAGCAGCATTAGCGTCACCTGAGAAGTTGTTAGAAACACAAATTGTTGGATCCACTCCAAGCCTACTGAACCAGAAATTCTGTGATTGGGCACAGCAATCTGTGTTACCATCCTAGTAATTGTGATGCACACTATAGTTTGAGAACACATATACAAGTACGCTTGAGTTTAGCTCTTCAATCAACTTCTTTAACTTAATATCCT